CAAGGTTCAATGTTTAACTATTCTTGTATTTATTCCTTGTATCAAGGGCTAATCTGACCTGCTACCCTGATGATATGACGATGCAATTAAATTCCAGAGGGGTGTGTGGCTTTGAAGTTTGTTGAAATCGCATTGTTATTAAAGAGACTATTAATTCCTCTCGCTTTCTCATAGGTCAAAAGCTTCACTGCCTGTGTGAAAAGTTTAGAGCAACTAAGAGAGCAATTGTATACAACTGAGAAGGAAAGTAGATGATACATTACAAACAATATTAAAATATAATAAAAAACTACCATAACTCCATAGGAATAAAATACTCGGATCAAAGCCATTACGAGATCACCTATTTTTTGGTGAAAATCTCTATTCTACCTTCACTATTTCTTTATTATTATCGTCATTTTCTTTCCCTTCTACGCCTTCATTATCTTGACTCTCCATTTTTTTATTCTTTTGTTAATCCATCACTGAATTGCTTCTTAAATAGAAGTTTTTGATAGTGGAAACAGTAATTCATTTGTTACAACATTTTTGTCAAATAGGTATTCAAAATCCTTCCACAGATTTTCAACATCTTCTTTTCACCGACCAGCTTGATTTATATTTCTTTTTATCAAATTATTATTTTGTCAATATTTTGGTTGAGATTATAGCGATGAAGCAAAAGGCCAAAGAACAGTCCAATCAACAATCTATTGGTTAAGATTATTTCAGTGCAGCTTGATTTTTTATGTGAATAATATAGCTTTAGTTTTTTCTATATTAGTAATAAAGAGTTTGAGTTTTTATATTAATATTAACAAAAACTTTTTTATTGTTATGTTTATTTGAATTGTTTTATTCATCTATAATTTTTGCTCCTATTCTTGAGAACAAAAAATGTTAAACGAAGTCTGAATTTAAAATAAAATTCCATCTGATAATCTACAAAGGAGTTTTCATTTTTATTGAATCTTGCAATAATTGTCTTGCTTCATTGTTTCATTATTGGTGAGAGTAAATATTTTGTTTTTGCCAATGACAATCTGGTTATATATCTTATTTGTTTTTGTTGCAGTACACCCCATTTTTTCTTTAGTTTAATCAATCAATCAATCAACGACTTTTTAACAATGGAAAAAAAATAAGATCTGAGTTTTTACACTCTCTCACTCTAGTACCAGTAACAACGCTGAATTGACACACATGATAATAACGACATAAATTATTATTATTTTTTATTATTCATAGTGAATTAATTCATTCATTATAAAAAGTGACTAGAAAAAAATATTATATAAATTATCACCAATAACTGTAATACTAAAATTGAGGCTTTTGATATTCATCCAAAAAATAAGTTTTTCGATTTTCATGTAGAAAACTTTTAAATAAAATATCAATTAGCATCACCTATTTTTTGGTGAAAATCTCTATTCTACCTTCACTATTTCTTTATTATTATCGTCATTTTCTTTCCCTTCTACGCCTTCATTATCTTGACTCTCCATTTTTTTATTCTTTTGTTAATCCATCACTGAATTGCTTCTTAAATAGAAGTTTTTGATAGTGGAAACAGTAATTCATTTGTTACAACATTTTTGTCAAATAGGTATTCAAAATCCTTCCACAGATTTTCAACATCTTCTTTTCACCGACCAGCTTGATTTATATTTCTTTTTATCAAATTATTATTTTGTCAATATTTTGGTTGAGATTATAGCGATGAAGCAAAAGGCCAAAGAACAGTCCAATCAACAATCTATTGGTTAAGATTATTTCAGTGCAGCTTGATTTTTTATGTGAATAATATAGCTTTAGTTTTTTCTATATTAGTAATAAAGAGTTTGAGTTTTTATATTAATATTAACAAAAACTTTTTTATTGTTATGTTTATTTGAATTGTTTTATTCATCTATAATTTTTGCTCCTATTCTTGAGAACAAAAAATGTTAAACGAAGTCTGAATTTAAAATAAAATTCCATCTGATAATCTACAAAGGAGTTTTCATTTTTATTGAATCTTGCAATAATTGTCTTGCTTCATTGTTTCATTATTGGTGAGAGTAAATATTTTGTTTTTGCCAATGACAATCTGGTTATATATCTTATTTGTTTTTGTTGCAGTACACCCCATTTTTTCTTTAGTTTAATCAATCAATCAATCAACGACTTTTTAACAATGGAAAAAAAATAAGATCTGAGTTTTTACACTCTCTCACTCTAGTACCAGTAACAACGCTGAATTGACACACATGATAATAACGACATAAATTATTATTATTTTTTATTATTCATAGTGAATTAATTCATTCATTATAAAAAGTGACTAGAAAAAAATATTATATAAATTATCACCAATAACTGTAATACTAAAATTGAGGCTTTTGATATTCATCCAAAAAATAAGTTTTTCGATTTTCATGTAGAAAACTTTTAAATAAAATATCAATTAGCAAAAATAAATACATTCTATATATAAATATATATGTATTTTTAAAAAATAAAAAACTTACTTTAAGAAATCAATTAGATGGTCTTTTATTATTGTCAATGTATCTTCTCCTACATTAGAACCAGATATTAAAGTCGGAATATATACTAAATATACAAAGTATTTTTTTTATTCCCCCAAAAAAATAATGATTTATTAAGTTTGTCACTTTTTCCAAAAAATCTCCAAAAACTTTTTATTATTTATTTACCAAATAATCTTAAGAAATGCTCAGCTCCATATAATTGTGAATTTTCCAATTTATCAAATTTATTTTTCAAATCTTTATATTGTTGTCTCTCTAATTGATATAGTAATCTTGTTCCCAGACATTTATTAAAATAATAAAGTATTCCATTTATAATTTCTTCTGTTGATCCATCATTAAACAAACTATTACATATACAAATATCATATATTTAACAATTATAATTTACATTGATTTTTGATTTTTGATTTTATGATTTTTCTATTATTTACCTATTATGTTGACTATATTTTTTTTTTTGGTACAACTTATAATGATCAATTATATCTACTACTGATGGTTTACGTGGTAACCGTACAACCTACACATATACAATTAAACATAAATAAAGGTGTGTATATATATATTATCTTATTTATTATATCGTAACATTTTTATCTGTAACATTGACACTTACTAATTGTGATTTATTAATATTTTCCCAATCTTGAACTAACATGGCTCTTAGCGTTTCAGGTATTGGAATTGCTATTATGGGTTTCTTGATAATTTCATCCTAAAGACAATATAATATATTCATTCATTCAATGATTAATCATTATTATTAATTACAACAGAAATTATTTATATAAAACGTTACTTTATCAATTGATTGTTCTCTCCTTCTCTTTTTTCCTTTTTCTGTGGTTGTTGTTGTTGCAGCTGTTGTCGATGTTGTTGCAATATTTGATGATGCCGCAGTTGCTGCCATGTCAATATTCATTCGTCTACCTGTTGATGCTTTATTTTTTCTATTAAATGATTCTTCGATTTGTTTTTGTTTTGATAAATTAGTTTCATTAAATTTTAAAACTCTAGGTTCTGCAACCCATTCATCCCAACTATTTTTGATTTTTTTTTTTTTTTTGTGTAAAAAATATAAATTTATTTTTTTGGTTTAGTAAAAAATTTAAATTTAGAAAAATTAAAAATTTTTCTTACGTGTGTTTCCAACCTTTATAATGTATTAAATAATGTGGTCCAGAAACACCCGATTTTGGATGTTTTTGATCTAAATAATCTACATCCAACACCTTTTTTATTATTTATATATATAATTTTTTTATTTTTTTTTTTAAGTAGAGAGGAGGAGGGATTAACAAAAAATCATTATATAAATAATATATAGCATAAATACTTTTGCTTCATAAATCATTGGTCCATGATAACAAAGAATTCGTTCACCTTTTTGATATAAAAATTGTTGTGACATTTGTATATATTTATGTATATGATGATATTGTACTTTTTTTAATTAGTTATAATTTATTTTATATTGATGAAAAAGGAAGAAGGGTCAAAAAAAAATTTTTTTTTGAATTTTAAAAGCAAAAAAAGAATTCAAAAAAAAATTTCACTTTTTATTTATATAATCGGAGGAAGTCTGTGTAACGTCATGTGACATTCAATACGTATTAATAATTAATATTAATATGGCACGTATCTATAAACGTCAATCAATAGTCGAAAAAATTTTTTTATATTGGGTTAAACTTTATATGTCGATCATTAAACATTTAAGAAAAAGAGACATTTAATTAATTCTAATGTGTGTATAATTTTTTAAAAACAGTTAAAAAAAATAATTAATCAAAAAATTGATAAAACGTTAAATCTAATTCGTTAAACAAAATTATTTTATTGGCACAAAACTTCATAGTGACACCGACTAAAGAAAATTATCAGCGGTCACTTACTTTTATGGAAAGGCTTGTTCGAAATCTTTTAACTTTAAAAGTTTATAGATTAGGATTTTAATAATGATCCGCGGGGTGCATATCTAGAATTCACTTCGTTTCTGCTGTTATAAAATTATAAATATTAACAAATATACACATATGTTTAATTCTGTACTGGGTTTTTTTAGCATGGTGGAAGTTCGATTTAATTGGTTGTGTAATGTGACAAAATTGAATATACAAAAATGAAAACTTTTATATAATAATAAAGTTTGGCCAATCCCTAAATAAATAATAAATTTTCACATGTCTCAGATTTTTCAAATTTATTTTTAGACACAACCTTTAACTGTTAACTGTTGTTAGCTTTGATAAAGGTATAAAAAGAAGGAATTCTGTAAAAATTTATGTAAAATTAAAAAAAAATATAAAAAATATAACATATCAATCAAATTTCTTTTTATTCTTTAATATAAAAACTCTTTACCTGGCTGGTCAAATAAAATCAAAACCATTATTATTATACTTGCTATCACTATTATTCATTATACTATTACTTATATTATTCACTATTTAACTATACTTCAATTATTTAATAAAAATGATGTGTAAAAATAAAAATACTGGTCCTTGTGCAGTTGAAAATTGTAAAGAAAATGAAAAAGGTCCTGAGTATGTTACTTTTAGAAATATAACTGATAAAGCATTCAATAAGTTAATGAAGCATCCAGATTATTTAAATATAAATTAAAAAAAAATCAACAACTTTGTTTTACACATTATATGAAATATGTAGAACATAAATATAAAGAAGTGAATAAAAGTGAATTATCTGGTGAATATTCTTTGAATGACATTAAAATTAATATTACAGAAAATGGAATTCTTTTATCTGAAGAAGATTTTAGCTTACTGGTTCAAAAAATTGAAAATTTGGAAGCAAAGGTTGAAAAAAATAAAGAAATTGAAAATATATTTAACATGAATAATATTTTTTTAACAGTTCAGAACAACTCGGAAAAAAGTATTAAAATGATTATTATTTATTAATTGTTTTTTTTATTATAGGCTCCTTAATTTTTGCAGATAAAATTGAATTATTGACCAATATACTTTCCAACAACAATGTAAATCAAATGAAGATATTGAATTAGATCCTATAAAATTTTGTAAATTAATTGAAGATAAAGAACCAAAGTTGAAAGGGTTTTTTAATGGACTAACAAAAATAATCCCTGAAGAAAGAAGATATCTAAATAAAGAATCAGCCAAAAAATCTATTGTAGGTTTTTGTTACCTTTTAGCTGGAATAAGAAATAAATTTGTGAATTGTCATTAAAGATAATAAATATAAAACAACAGAGCCTTCACTCATTGGAAGATTATTTGTTAGCATTAAAAATGATAACAAGTATAAATAGTTTATCAGAATATATTAAAAAAAAAATGTTATACTGTAATTGCTGATTACCCAGGACAACTCTTTCTTAGAAAAGCTATTACACTAGATTCAAAAAATTTATTGATGGATTGAAAATGTTGTTCCAATATTGGGCCCATTACATGTTTCTTTGAATTCAAGGGAATAGATTTAAAATCATTACCTGCTGGTTATCATACAGAACATCCACCAAAAAAGGATTTGTGTGATAATTGTGACAAAGCATTTGATTCAAACTTTCCATATACTGATGGGTGCATATTGATTTGTGGCCATAGTTATCATTATGAATGCTATGAAGATCTGGGAAAAAGTTGTATACATTGTATGGAATTTTACAAAAAAAGGCATTTTTAAAAATGTTGATGCTTTTGTATCACAATTAGAAAAATTTTCTACAATTGAGCTGGAAGATAATGATGATAATGGAAATGATGATGATGATGATGATGATGATGATTCAATTAATATAGATAAGAACATGTAAATAGATTATTTTTAAACTTAAAAAATGAAATAAAAGATTGGTAAAAATCATATTTATTAAAAAAAATTTTTTTCCTATATAATTATTAATACAACTATTAAAATAATTTATAATTTTAAAGGAAAATACCTTTATAACAAAACCTCATGAGTATTAATGTTATTGCAATGTGTTGGTAATTAACTGCCCTTCTTTCTTTATTATATGTTTAATTGCATGATTTTTTTTAAAGGTGTAATAAAAAAAAAAGTAAATAAGATATCTCCTGACAAGGTAAAATTACTAAATGAAATAAGTTGCATATAACAAAACCTCATGAGTATTAACGTTATTGCAATGTGTTGGTAATTAACTGCCCTTCTTTCTTTATTTTATAATGAATTATAAAGTTCATTTAAAAATTATTATTTAAAAAATTTTTGTGTCAATTGAAAATGTGACTTTACATATATGAACTCATTTTAAAATTAAAAGGTACACAATATAATTTCAAGATCGTCACTATGTGACAAATGTGATAATGAGAAATTCCACTATGCTACTAATCGTGTTATACTGAATTTTTTGATGAGCACAGATCATCTATACTAAAAATGGTCAAATTTGTATTTTTACAATACATCATTTTCTCTTTAACACAAAAAAAAAGATTTAACATTTGCCATGTCATGATCTCCTTCCAAAACTCACAAGTTGTGCAACTTCTGTGCAGTTTTCTTGCTGATTGTCTCCTTTTGCGTCTAGCCATGCCTGGTTTTTTCAGTTTTTGGTGCAATCAATGTTTTCACCATATTTAGCAAAAATTGTGTCATACGGCAAATGGTTTGTTTTATAAAACAGGTTGCAATTGCAATTGCATTGAAATTGAGTTGTGTTGAATTGAATTGCAAAGCAATGTGTTGCAATTGCAATTGAAATCGAAAAATCTTTGTTTTTTAAACCTAATTTTTTGGGAAGGAATTTTTTGCTTTCGCTGGGTGGTAATTTCAGAAAAACTTTTTTTTTATTTTTCTGAAAAAAAAAATTTGATCTACATAATTTTTATTGTAAAGAAAAAAAATACAAATAGGAATGAAGAAAAAAATTTTTGATCTACGCAATTTTTAATTATTATCGTCATCATTTTCAATGTTGTACGAATTTTCTATTGCATCCGTATAACATTTATTGTTGCTGACAACTTCGTTCATTGTATGTATCAGTTTCGTTGCTCTTGATGTGCTTGATTCTTCCTGTGGGTCATGGTCTGCACTTCTTCTTTTTTTAACCGACTCCCCAATGTGACTTGTGGTCTTTCTCTTGCTGTTGGAACTCATGAATTGTTCCTCAAAATCCAGATGTTTGGATTTTAATGC